TGTATTCCCTTATTCGCTACTAAGAACCAGTGGAAATAGCGACACTGAGAAGATCACACGACCCTGGTGACTCTAGTGTGGATGCTGCAAGGCTGCAAGTGAATCAGCATGAAATCAGTGAAACATAGTGGAACAAGCAAAGGTTTGGCCTGCACCTATTGGGACCCTAAGTCCTAAACCCTAAACCAGCCCGGCTGAAGCTTTGCGAAGGAGATGTGGGAGAAGCGTCTCCCACCGGAGAGAGTGTTGCCTTTCGATAGGAAGGACTGACAGTGAAGCGTTCAGTGTTTCAAAGGGTCTTTTTTGAGGTTGTGGGCTATCTGACCGGAAGCAGACTTGAAGGGGAGTTCGGAAGATGTTGAGTCCGATCAGTTGGTAGAGAAAGGAGGGAGGTGGAAGTGAACCGTGCTTTCATCAGTGTCGTGCCTGTTTCTCACCCTTTAGCCGTCATAACTCTCATACCGTTGCATGGCTACTGAGCTCAAGAGCGCCAGAGCATGCGGCTCTCCTTCGTTTGGGTTCTTCTGGCTGATTTTATCTTATTTGGTGCTTGGTATTACCCAACGCATGGTCTTTCTATCTTTCTAGGCTGCACACATTGAAGCTGAGGGAGTTCCATGCTAGAGTTGCCGTCAGCACAACACCTGAATTGCCAGGACAACTTCTGGGAGATGGGGGCCACAGGCAATGCGCGCACGTTTAGGTGTTCGCATCGTCATGCTCCCAACCGTTCTTACGTGACCTAAAACCCTAGATTCTAAAGTGCTTCTTCTGCTTTTACTTCAGCTGCTCCTTTTCTACTCCTGGGAGAATGGTGACGACTGCTACTGCTGCGTTACGTTAATGTACCATAGCACCATAATTCTCAAGGTATGAGGTACTTAGGGGCATGCAGGATTGTTAGTGTCAGCCCTATAAACTCCTATATAATCCCAGTTTTCGTTTCAATGTTCTTTTCCATTTGATTCTCCAGTATTGGAATATGTATCCAATCTAGGGCTGTAAATTGGGGGAGGCCCTTGTGGACCATGCTCCGAGCTGCACTACGATCGGGTCGGGGGCCGAGATGCAGCGGCTCTGGTCAACGCGGATGACCCCGACGTGATTGAGATCTGGAGCGCAAGCATCTGCCTTGTGTTGGTTGGGGGTATGGTATGATAACCCTATAGCATTATTCTTTCTTAACTAGGATTAATGGGGTTGGTTGGGATTTGCCGGCATTTGACCGCAACCTAGTCTGGACTTTGGAGTCTGCATTGGTTACCAGTGGTAAGTTGCCAGCAGCACCTAGGCACTTGACTTGCTTAGGAGTGGATGGTAGATGGCCATGCCCAAGCCAAACAGGAAAAAACAACCATACCCTAAACCCTAAACCCTAAACCCTAGCTTTTGCAGGAATTTGGTGTTCATGCAGTTCTATCGTGAAGATGATGGAAAGCTAACGGAACTCCCCAGCCGGCACATTGACACGGGCATGGGCCTGGAGCGGGTGACTTCAGACGCTTGGATTAGGGATTAGGGCTTTAGGTTTAGGGTTTAGGGGTTTAGGGTTTAGGGTTTAGGGATTAGGATTTGATGTTTCCAGGTTGAAGGTTGAGGGTTAAGGGTCAGCTCTTGTGAATATAGAGTAGATCGAACTCAGTTTAGCGCTTCGGGTGCTGGCATTTGTTGTCTTGAATCATGGAGTGCATGCCTTTGACTGCTCCTCTTGCCGTCCCAGAAATGACCCGGGAATTGGACTTATCTTGCTGCGGGTTGGTAAGGAAAATGGGTGTGTGCATATATCTACACACATATATATAATAAAGAAGTATATAGGGAGTATATTCCCTTATTCCCTACTAGTCCCCGGTAAGCCACTGGTTCTGGAAGGTGCTCCAGGACAAGCGAAGCAACTACGATACCGACATCTTCGGCCCACTCCTGTCCGCCCTCAATGACTTGGTTGGAGGCCTCTTCATCACACATAAACCCCACATATTGGCCGAGCCCCCATTCCATTTTCCAATTTCTTGTTGACTTGATTCTCTGTTAGAGTTACGCACCGTGGTTTAGCTGGCTTAATCTACCGGTCTTGGCATCCGCCGTCAGCAATAAGGTGATCCCTACCAGGGCCGCGTGGGCGACGAGGATGTGGGGATGCGCGACACAGCCTACAGCAGCTTGGAACAACACCTATGAGCAGCTCATAAAGACGTGCATCGTGGCAAGTGCATCTGAGCTATAGTCTAAACTCCTAGTATCCCAAGTAATAACCCCTGTCATACTCCCCTATATAATCCCTTGCATAGCCCCCTTTAAGGAGTTTAGATTATGGCTCATCTGAAGCTGGCTGGCCATGAGGAATAATTGTGGACCACGCCAGAACACTCACCCTGGCTGTTGCGGATGGGGCCATGCCATCGAGCGAAGGTTGGGAGTTGGGAGGTTTTGGAATTGGCTGGTTGTCTATGAGAATTATGTTCGAAGAAGATGCCTTGATAACATTTTGCAACGCCAGAACATCTACGTCTATGCAAATGCCTGTGTTCCTCTCTAGGCTCTAGACTCTAGAGGGCCTACTCAGATGCTCAACCCCAATGATTATGAGCAATTGCTCAGCAAATCCTGGAGCTAAGAGGAAGGAAAAACAAACTTCTCTGTTTAACCAGAGAGCGAGGCAAACAACCAAGCTCGTCACCTCTTATTATTCGAGGTCTGAGATTGCAAAATACCACCCTAAACCCTAAACCTTAAATAGTAGTTTTCATTTTATTTTCCACCCAATATAACCCCGATATCACCCCTAAACCCCATTATTCCATTTACCTTGCGTTGGGCTGTAATCCCTTAGTTGGGCAGGTCGCGGCTACGTCCTCCGGCGAATCCTGCGCCGGGCCGTGCGCTACGGCCGATCGAAGCTGCAAGCACCGCCAGGATTCTTCAGCCAGCTGGCCCGGGCTTCCAAGAAAAGGGTTCAAGGTTGAGGGTTTAGGGTTCAGGGTTTAGGGTTTAGGGTTCAGGATGTAGTATACTGGGGTTATATAGGGATAGTGGAAAAGAAAAACTACTATTTTCAAATAGGGTATATAAAGGGGTCATACAGGGATAATAATAACAAAAACCAGCAGAAATCATGGGACTGAACATCAACGGGCAGTGCAAGTAGCACAGCAGACCAGTAGACATGACTCTGTGTCACATGTAACTAGATGACGGTGACGAAGAAGACGCAGGTCCCCAAAGTGGCCGACTGCCTTGGCGTGGCCTTCCCAGAGCTCAATGAGGGGGCGAAGCGCGTAGAATCGGTGCTTCGTGAGGAGGAGGCCACCTGTCCCAAGATTTGGGTTTTATGGTTTAGGGTCTAGGGCCTCTAGGGTTTAGGGTTTTAGGTCTTACCGGTGCTTACTTGATGGAGGCAGGGTGAGTGACTCGTTCTAATGACCTCTATATACTCCCCACATATAGTAGTCTGTATGTTCACTCCTCCACTCCCCCTGAAGCACCAGTTAAGGTGTTAGTGGGCATCGTAGGCTAGAATTCCATTCCAGCAAGGCAGCATTTGACAGAACGGTCGACCGTGGCATGCAGTTCTTCGAGGCACTTCGCGACTCTTGGCGCCCACTGTAGCTAGGGAAAGTGAAAATCGGGATTAGTATCGGGGTATATGTGAGCTATAGTCTCAACTTCTTAAAGGGGGGTTATATAGGGGATTATATAGGGGACTACTGTATGGGTTATTAAGGGGGATGCTAGGAGTTTAGATTATCGGGGTATATGTGGGGATTATATAGGGAAAAGGATCCACTCCCGAACTGTCCATTAGCTGTCAATGCTTGTCGCCTCTCCTGGGTTGGCACCAGACAGTGGACCCGAATCATTGGGTTTAGATATTTCGTAGTAGTGTCCCAAAATAGGGGAACCTCAATATAGTCCCAAATATATCATAATCCTTATTATAGCGACCTTCAAAATGGTACCCCTAATTTTGGGAAACCCCCATTTAGGTTTAGCGTTTACGGTTAAGGTATTCCTGCTCACCTTGCATGGTACACTGTAGACTGATGAGCGTCTCACCTCCCTTGCCGCAAACTGGGTTGCTGTTAAGGAACTTAAAATAAGTGACTATATTGGGGAGACCCTAGTAACTTATATATATATATGCCCATTATGGTACTTTAGTTTGAGTTGCTATATTGGGGAAGCCCTATTAATTAGTATATGTACCCATCACTGTAACTTAATTGAAGTTCCTTAACAGCAATCCACCCAAAGGGAGAATCGCCACCTTGGCAGCTAAGGATGAGCTAGCTGGCAAAGGTGTATCCACAATTCCTGGCGACCAGGCCAGCCTCTTTTTATTATTCCTGCCATTCGTATTTTCTTTTTTATTAGTATATCCATATATTATGTATATATGATATTCTTAGAGACATTATAGATGTGTATATCTTATACTGCATATGTTATTTGGTTTTCTCGCTTAGAGATTTGCATGCTAGTATGTTGGGAGAGCGTGAGGCCTTCCTGCTCTACGATACCCATGGCTTTCCGCTGGATCTGACTGAGCAGATGGCACAGGAGGCTAGCACCTGCTACGGTTTGCATGTGTGCCACTTGTTGGCGCTGTATAATAAGATCCCTGGAGAAAACACACTTTCTGTTCAAGCATCCGGAATTCACTTGCTGCTGGTGCGTTAGTTCGAATGATCGTGTCTGATCAGCTGATGTAGTTGCCATAACTAGGGGGACCCCAGTATAGACCCCAAAATAACATAATCCTGACTATGCGGACCGCCAAAAAGGTGCCTTGTCCCTATGACTCACTATCTAAAGCCACTTTCCATTATTTTATTTTCCAGTATCTTTGTCATTTGAGTCTCCATTCTTGGGATGAAGCAAAGAACCCCTCTTTTCGGGAAACAACTAAACCCTCTTCAGTAGATAGAATATGGGATCTTATTATGGTATACCCAAAGCCATATTCTATCTACTTAAGGGGGACTATACTCAACCTTAACCGTATGAATGGAACTTGCTCTTCCACACCCTAAACCCTAAACCGCGTGCGTGAGGCCGGCTTCACTTTAGATGTTGCCGGGTTCGAGGCGAGGTGCCAAGTTTTTCAGAATGAGAGCTTGGGGATTTAAGGTTTTGAGGGTTTAGGGTTTTGAGTGTAAGGGCTGAATATTTAAAATGGTAAAAATAATGAGAACCGTAGTAATAATGGTAGAAAAAGTAATAGGGATATTATAATAGTAATGCTGATAAAAGTAACAATGCTAATGAGTGAACAGTTGTCCCTGCATCTGCATCTGCATTGATAAGGTGATTTTAGCTATCCCCACCCCTGTGATAAGGACCCTGCAACTATCATATGACTACAATAGGGTCAAGATTCCAGGGGACCGGGTTTGTAAAAACCCTTCATTATACTTACGGCCTGCCAGTTTTAGACGTGGCTTCACGCTACCTGCTTGCGAATCGGGCCATCCTTAAATTCTGCATGGGAACCACTGCATGCCGCTGCACTAGATGGGCCTATGCTGCTGAAAGCAGACATTCATCTGGTCCTCCTACGGTAGATATTAAGATGCCCTGAATCTTGGGGATTATGGTATTCTAGTCTAGTAGGATGTTGAGAACCCACCGTAGTTACAGCATCATGTCCCCAGCTGTAGACTGCCCTCATAGGCTGCCATGGAGAAGCAGAAGGAACGATCCAGGGAAGCTCTTCGAGAACAGCAGGAACGGCCTGCATCGCCACGCCCAGGGTTTAGGGTTCAGAACGTTTAAGGTGTAGGGTCTAGAGTTAAGTGTAGGGTTGAGGGTGTAGATCGCCAAGTTCATTAGCTGTACCTCCATGAGCACCATTTTGAAAGCCCAGCTACCCACAATCATTGGCTCATTGAACCGAGAGTGGGTTCAAATTTTGGGAAAGTTGACCATTTTTATTTGCTGATTGGGGGAAAGTAGACCACGATTATACTACAACTTTCAATAGAGGAGAGTAAACCAATGATCATTTATGCACCTGTAAAGGTTCGGTATCAGGCATCCCGTCCCCAAAGCCCGTAACCCTGAACCCTTTATACTACACTTGATGAGGGAAAGTAAGCCAGTATTGAAATACAGCTTGGGTTTTGTGAAAACTTCTAGCCCTAAACCCCTAAATCAACCTTAAACCCGACACCCCAAGCCCTAATTCCTAAACCCTAAATCCTAGACCCAAAACCCTAAACCCTACACCCTAAACCCTAAATCCTAGGCTCTAAACCCAAAACCCTACACCCCTGAACCCTAAGCCCTAAACCCTAAGCTGCCAGGCCCAGAAGCAGGGCCTCCGTCCCCTCGAGCTGGTTGCCGAACAGACGGCCGCTGCCTCGGCCTTCCATCATATGATCATGGGTTCCCCTACTACCCCCCTCTAAACTACCCCCCCCCCCCCCAGGTTCTCCCCTTTGGGATATTTCGGCCTAATTAAGAAGGGGGAACCTAGGGGGGGGGTAGTAGGGGAACCCATGATATGAGCTACAGATAGGGATTAGGGTTTAAGGGTTTAGGATTTAGGGTTTAGGGCTTAGGATGTAGGGATTAGGGTTTGGGTTTAGGGATTAGGGTTTAGGGTTCAGGGTTTAGGATTTAGGGTTCAGGGTTTAGGATTTAGGGTTTAGGGTTTAGGATTAAGGGTTTGGGTTACAGTATATAGGAGCCACAGGGCTTGTAGGGGGGTTATATAGAGGTTTTATAGGGATAGTGGAAAAGAAATCGGAAACTGCTATAATTTATTCATGGTTTAGGGTTCAGCATACCTCAGTTACAGTCAATATTTCCCATATTAGCCATGGAGAATGAAAAGGAAAAGAGCATGGACAAATTAAACGGAAAGTGGGATTATGTAGGCGTTGTAGGGATAACATTTCCCCTACAGCTTAAACTACTGGACAGGGGTTCCTAGCAGCAAACTTATTAGGGATTATATTAAACTACCAAGGGCCCCTACTCTTGACAGTAGCTCCTATGTAGGTACAGGCCATAGTACGACCACTGGCAAGCTGCATTGCTTTACATGCCAGCCCAGCAAACTGCCTCCTGCTTGATATGAACCCTACCAGTGTCACAACTAGCTTGCACAGCATGAAGCCCGTCTGAGCTCAACTGGAAACGTGCGAACTCCACCTACAAACGGCGAACATTGGCTTTCAAAGATCCAGGCAGTGAGTTAAAATGAGCTATAGTCTAAACTCCTAGTATTCCCTTGAATAACCCTTATAATACTCCCCTAAATGGTTGAGTTTAGACCCTAAACCCTATATAATCCTCTGTATAAGCTCAAATGTTCCAGTGCGAGGCTTGGCTCAGTGACCGCGACATTCCGATCACAGCCGCTCGGATTAGGGCTTGGGGTTATAGGGGTCGTAGGGTTTATGGATTAGGGTAGGGTTGAGGGATTAGGGATTAGGTTCAGGGATTAGGGTTTGGGATGGGCTTAGGGTTTGGGGAGTAGGGATCAGGGCCTAAGGATTAGAATTTAGCGTTTAGGGATTAGGATTCGCGTTGCAACAAGACTCTTTTCTGGCGGACATAGGAGGATGATCTCAAGTACACCTGGGACATCAAGCCGGCAGCGAAAGTCCTGGCCATCTACACAGAGGATGGCTGCTCAGCTGCATTCCGCTAATGCAAACGGTCATGAGGCATTTCCAAAAGCAGGGGCCCCCCCTATACAAATACTTACGATCTTTTTTCGGGATCTCCTAAAAGGGCGCTCCTACTTTTTGGAAGCCCGCCATGTTTCAATTAAACACGCAAACCCCATTCGCAGCTTGTGGTGGGGATGTCATGTGCTGGCTGATGCATGCTAAGCAGCAAAAGGGGTGCTCCAGCTACTCCAGCTTTGAATTCATGAATGCCCACTCGGAGATTCATGGGACTAGTAGCTACTTGAAAAACTAGGCTTACAACCACACTTCTAATCCTCCTAACTGGACTTCTGTGCGTGAGCCCAAGTTCTAATCCCACTTGTAAGTAACTCTGATTCCCATGAACCTCCAATCTAGGCACAGGGTTCAGCTTTGATGCTGAGGATTCGTAGACAGCACGGCAGACATTGGCGACGATGGTGCGTCTGTTGGGCTCGCTCCTTGCTTTCAATTCCAGTGACGTTTTGCCACCCTCGCGGGGTCTTGGGGTTGAGCTGAGCTTGGCTGTCTTGATGCATGTCGCTCTGCCATGGAAAAGCGTGTGACAGAGTAAGATCCGCAAATCACACCTCCACTCAGAAAATTGCGCAGGTGTTGGACAAGACACCGTTCTATGCAGAGGCAGTGGCTACGTTGTTTAGCCTTGTCATTTTGCTGTCAGTGCCATGCTACCTGGTTGGGCCCACTGTGCTTGCTTCAACATGACGAGGCTGGAGGACAGGTCAACGACCTGGGCGTGTTGAGGAAGGCACCTTGCTCAACTACACATGTCGGTCCAAGGCAATGACGGTGTTGGTAAGTGTTTTGCGCTGATTGTGCCATTGTGACTTGTAGCAGCGCGCTATGAGTCCTCACAGGGTTGCAGCTCAAATTTCCGAAGCTCGCCTGGACTGTGTAAGGATGACAGCGCGGAGCTTGACGTGAAGGTCGTTCAGGCGGAATGGCGCCATTGGGTCCATCATTTCTAGACTGCCCTCAGACTCCCAACTCCAGTGCCTCTTGTGCATGAGGAAGATGGGCAAGAACGCGCTGTCCGTAATTCCCCCCCCGGCCCACGGCTCCAGGCTTTTCCCTTCCTACCTGCAAAAACTTACTGGCCCGTTCGGTTTGTCAGTTGTTTGGCGCAGGCGTTCGCTGGGTATGTGCTACACACTGGCCCTGTGCCAGCTGCGGCGCTGTCTGCAGCGAGGCTCAACTAGTGGAACTCAAGCTGGTCCGAAACAGGAATCTTGCCTTATGACTGCATCCACGCAGAAGAATGGACCAAGCTGTTTCGCCCCGAAGCCTGCGCAGCTAAGGTTGGAGATGAGGTCACCTGTCAGGTGCGGCCGCCCCATATGTGCCCTGCACGGCCGCGCCACAGTGATCCGGGCAAGTCCTGACGATACATGCTTTCTGCCGTGTAGATGAGGTGTAGGAGGTGTTCGCTTCCCGCGATCAAGATACTTCTTTGTGGTGCAGGTGGACTACGCGCATCGGAGCCGCATCGCGCCCAACCATACCATGACGCACGTCCTGAACTGGGCTTTGCGCGAGGCCGATGAAGCGGACAGCCGGTGCCTCATATCATCAGCCCTGGACGCTAGGTCCTGGGCGACGGTATTGATCAGCGTGGCTCGCTTGTGACGGCAGAAAGGTTGGCCCCCCAGCTTGACACAGCATGTGTAATAGATGCCGGCCCAATGAGCTAGCTCTCATTAACCCTGAGACGCTTAGCCTCGCATGGCGTGACCTAAGCTGGCATGCTTGGCCAGTGACAGGCTGCGTTTCGACTTCAGCTATGAAGCTAGCGCGGGCGTCTCCATGAAAGATCTGCAGTCGGTGGAGAACAAGGCACCCCGCAGAAGCAATGACCATCCTTAGCCCATACCTGATGGGTCAGACAACTTCATGCTTGTGCAGATAAGTTCAGGTGTGCAAGTGGTAGTCCCAGAGATAGAGGAACCTCAATGTATACCCCAAAACGCTATAATTCTTCTTACTGGGACCCAAGGTACCCCTAATTCTGGGGAACCCCACACCCTAAACCTTATACACCCCAGTAAAACCTTATATCTCCCCTATAATTAGCCCCCTTTAAAAAGGGTACCTCCCATTTTGGGAACCCCTAAACCCTAAATCCTACAAACCGGAGGTTCGCGAGGTTGTGGCCGCGGGGCTGCCGGTTGACACGAAGACCGTGGCATTGGCAGATGCCCAGGCTTGGGGTTTAGGGTTTAGGGTTTAGGGGTAGGGTGGGGTTATATGAGCTATAGTCTAAACTCCTTAAAGGGTTTTTTTTCGGGGATTATATAGGAACATATTATAGGGGTTATTAAGGGGGATACTAGGAGTTTAGACTACAGCTCATATTGCTGTTGAGGGTTTAGTGATTAGGGTTTAGCCCCAGGTTAGCAGGGAAGGAATGGGAAAGAAGCTGGAAACTATTATAATGGGTTATACATATATAATAGGTTTTGGGTTTAGAAGAAACTGTTACATCATTTGGGATCATATAGGGGCAACTAATGTCGGGATCCTGGTGAGTGCGGGGGAGGGTGCGATACAGTATTTGTTCTTCGGGAAGTAGTCTGGACACCGATTCGGTTTGGCGGGTGCCAATTAAGCCAGTTGGTCTGACATATAGAAGAGCTAAGCCCTCCGAAATTCAATCATAACTACTGTGATTCCTTCCCGTCCCCTCACCTACCGGATCCCCCAGAGACCATCCATTTATTTGGGTTTTTTGCGGCGGACTCCCCTTTTTGTCCCGGGAGTCCCCCGAACTAGTCAGGAGCCAACAACATCAAGCTAGATTCGTTCATTCCTTGCTCAACAGAGACCCAATGCCATATGATGTCTGCTTCAGGGGGCACCATAATCCCTGAACCCTAAAAAACCTGGCTGCAAGGCCATCACTGGTCTGCGCGCCATGGCCGGTGAGTCCTATCCAGATCCTGTACGGGTGGTGACTGTAGGCCTGGCAGGGGTTTAGGGATTAGGGTTACGGGTTTAGGCATTGGGGTTTGGGGTTTAGGGTTTAAGGAGGGGGGAATCCATTTTTTGCAAGCCCCCTCTTGATGTTCTAAGCCCTAAATCCAACACCCTAAACCGAAGACTTTGCAGACCCCAAGCCGTGCATCAAATATCTTATCTATGATCGTGTATATATATATACATGTATATTTCTATAGTAGTTTCCATGTTCCATTATTCCTATAATCCAAATATGTTTGTATTACGCCTGCAGGCTCTGCGGGCATTGACACAATCCTGGAGAAGCCGAATGATCATCAATGGCTTGAGCAATCCGTAGAGTTCTGCAGCTTGGCAGCATTTTTTACCAACTGCATGGCACACAGGCATTCTTGGTTTTTTTGCTGGAATTTTGTGGCATTTAGGATTGAGATGGGGCAATGTTCATGGTGCTGGGCTGTGAAGAATCGAGGCGGCGGCACACACATCTCCTCAACTTCGGAGGCAAAGTCCTTTGCCCTCCTAGAAGAGAAAGGCCTGGCTGGGCATTGCGCAGCATTCGTCGCCAAGAAATTGGGATCTCATGGGCGAAGGTATCCTACGAAAATCGACTCCTGATGTCTGGGATAGATTCCCACGCGTATGCCTTTCGCAGCTTGACATGTTCGGCACTTGAAGAGGCTCAAGCCACAGGCATAGCTGTCACGTGCAAAAGCTCCACGCATCCGACGTTGAGTGTTTGAGATGCTGATCAAGTTGCTGGCTGCAGTGCTCAGCACATGCTGCCTGGCAATCCCGGTCACCTTTAAGGTAGACTTCGGAGGGCGACAGGTGGCCCCCGGAGGTCTCCATTTGGCTGGGAGCTTTCAGGGTTGGGATCCCAATGTCACTGCTTTGGCAGATGGTGATGGGGATGGCATCTACGTGACAACATTGGATTTGCCCGCAGGTTCCCATGAGTTCAAATTCATCAATGGCAGCTCGTTGGAATATGCAGAGACACTGCCACCGGCATGCAGTACGGCCAATACTTGGTACTACTACTACGGCTACGGCGACGAGGATGCCCCTCGCAAACTCGAAATTGAGGAGGGTGCCGCCTCCGCCGAGGTGCACATGTGTTTTCAGGAATGCCAGCCATGTGAGGCTCTTGCACGCTGTAAGATGTTCAACTGCCCTTCTGGGCACGTGTTGAAAGACAGTGCCATGGAGATACCTGGCGAAACAAAGGCCACGTGCTGCAAAGTCGCCAGCAACTGGGCAGCACCTGTTGTTGTGCGCAGTGCTGCCTACTCGGATGGCAATCGGGCCGAGTTCTGGGTATGGGGTCAAATGGTGCATTCCACTAGGGATCGTGGCCTCACTGTCGTTGAAGTGCGGCCTGAGCTCCTCGCTCTCTGCATGTCCTACGGATGGCAAGTTCCAGTCCAGCACAAGGAGACATGATAAGGGCACTGTCATACTGGGATAATGGAAAATAAAATGGAAACTACTATAGTATATTGGGGTAATATTGAGATAGTGGAAAATAAAATGAAAACTACTAGTATATTGGGGTGATATTGGGATAACGGAACATAAGATCGTCCAGCACAAGGAGACATTTGACACCTACGTGGACTCATCCAAGCTGGAAGCTTACCTTGCGAAGGTGCCTGCTGGCAACCTACTCCTCATGGGCGCTGTTGATGAAGCTTCTAACATGCTCAGCTCACAGGCCGAGGCTTTGATTGCAAGCTGTGGGGCCAAATCCATCCAGCAAATGGGCTTCAGGAGCTCATACTCGCTCATCGGACAGAAAGATGGGAGTGCCTTATCCGAGGTGGTTCTGCCCGAAGGCAGTGGATATGCCATTGCAGTTGCAGAATTCCCGATGCCCCCGGGGAAGAAGTTCTGCAAGATGTACGACTGCTTTTGGGGGATCTTTCACAATGTCCTGAGGGCAGATGCCATGGAGACACCTGGTCAAAGTGACGAAGCCTGCTGCGAAAGAGCCAAGCAGGGCGAGCACTCCTTGGTGGTGCGAAGCACTGGGTACTCAGACGGGAACAGGGCCCAATTTCGGTTGAATGGTCAGCTCCTCTATAGGACTGGCACGCGTGGCCTCACCATCGTGGACCTGTGGCCAGACATGACAGTGAAGCACACAGAGACCTTCGACACCTTCACTGATTCTTCTGCTTTGGTTGCATACCTGAGCTCAACCCCTGAAGGCAACATTATACTGGTTGGAGCAGTGGATGAGGCGTCTGCTGGCTTCAGCCAGGAAGCAGAAAACCTCCTGCGCGATTGTGGGGCCACGTTTCCCCGGCCGCTATCCTTTAGAAGCTCCTATGCGCTCATTGGCATCAAGGGTGGAAATGCCCTGTCAGAGGTGGTGATGCCAGAGTTAACTGGCTCTGCTGTAGCTGTCGGAGAGTTGATCCCGGTGATCCCACCTGGGCCAGACCTGTGCAAACTGTACAACTGCCCGTCTGGATTTGTGCTGAGAGCAGATGCCATGGAGACACTCGGTGAACTCCTCGAAGATTGCTGTGCAGCAGTTGAAGCAGGCAAGCAAGCAGTTGTGGTGCGAAGCGCCGGCTATGAGGATGGGAACAAGGCCGAATTTTGATTGAATGGTGAACTTCTCCATGAAACCAGCAAACGGGGTCTCACAGTCGTGGACATGTGGCCCGACATGACGGTGAAGCACATTGAGACCTTTGACACCCACTTGGATTGTTCTTCTTTCGTTGCATACCTGAGCTCGACCGCTGAAGGCAACATGGTACTTGTAGGAGCAGCGGATGAGGCATCTAGAGCCCTCGGAAAGGACTGGGACGCTGCGAACCTTCTTCGCGATCTTGGGGCCACATTCCCGCGGCCGATATTTTTTAGGAGCTCTTATGCTCTGATTGGCATGAAGGGTGGAAATGCCCTGGCCGAGGTGGTGAGACCAATGGGAGGTGGAAAAGCTGTAGCTGTCGCTGAGGTGCCTTTGCCTCAGGCCACCCTGCCTCCCACCTCGCAAGTGACAACAACTTCAATTGTCGACAGCTTCGTGCCTGTGGATGGAGGCGTGGACCGTGCCTGCCGCGGGGCGGCATCCAGCGACAACAATCCCAACTACTACACGGTGGTCTCTGGCGTGGAATCGCTCCTGGCCTGCAAGGAGGAGTGCGTCCGTGCTGAGGCATGTGTTGGCATCGAGCACAGCGGAAGCCGTTGTGAAGTCTGGACACGACCAGAAGGCATCCAGGCCTCCATTAACCTCGCCGGCTTCACATGCCTAAGCTACGCATCCTCTCTTGCGACCACAGTGACGACAACAACAGCAGCGACCACCGGAGCCATTTCGAACCTTTTCGAAGCAGTGGATGGCGGCATTAATCGGGCATGCCGTGGGGCATCCACTTCCGACAACAATCCGGCCAACTATGCGGTTGTCTCAGGGGTCCAGCAACTCGGCGATTGCCAAGCTGAGTGCATGAAGGTCGTTGGCTGCGTGGGGATCGAGTTCAGCGTTGGAAGATGTGAAGTTTGGATTCGTCCCGATGGAATCCAGGCTACAATTGCGCTGAGCGGATTCACCTGTCAACGTTTGGTTGGGGAGACCCGGCGGTTGCATGTGACGGTTTTTCCTTGACCTGTGTCAGGGCTTGCAACACTGCAGCCTCCATGGTTTGGAGCCAGACAGGGTCATGCTGTCATGCCTCAAATCCGCCAAAGGCGGGCCTAACAGGCAGCTGTCCCTATTGGCGTCTGCCACATGACTCCAAATCCACAACAGTTTGAAATTCGCGCCAGGCTCTGCATGAGGCCGGCAAGGGTGGAGGTTTTAAGTTCCCCTGGCAGTTTTGCAGGGTGTCACCCTGGAATCTGGCAAACTCAACTGTAGTTTGTCAAGCCTTCAAACCTATAGCGCGTAGCAACCGCGACTGGCGCAGGGGGCTTGTTTTGAACACTGGACGACCAAAGGTCGCGCGATATGATGCAACGCCATACAGCCGTGACGCTGGCCGTTCAGACCGCAGCTCACCAAGTAGCATGCTGAGCATCGCACATCTTTGGTTGTTTTACTTCAGGCCGCTCAGGATGAGGGTTCCTTGTCGGGTCGCAGCTGATGAGATTCGGCAAGCAAACTTCTCTTGCAGCACGCTTAGCTTAAGCATTTCGCCATCCTTTGCGGAGCGTATAAAGCGTATAGTTGTGTAGCCACCAGTGCTGCAAGCTGTGCAGTTTTGTCCAAACCGGCATGTTTTTGGACAACGACCAGGATGAAAAAAACGCGGCTCGGGAGATGGTACTGTTGATGGAAGACATCTTGCAGCGCCCTAAGCCCCTTAAGTCATGCGAATTTCAGTAGCGTAATGGTGCTCAGCAGTAACAGTATGTAGGGGTCCTTGCGATCAGCTCTGCGGGGAGGCATCTCGAAAGGCGTTCGTCGCATCATTGCGGCCACTGGTGAGGTAGCTGAGACCGCTATCAAGGCGTGGGACAGGGCTGCCGCAGCAAGCCCCTGAACCATTTGGGTGGTGGTCATAATTATAGTCCCTGTTTGGGTACCCGAAATATTGGGTGCCGTATTATAATAGGGATCCAAAAAGGGGCCATAATTTTGACAACCACCCATTTAGACTGGGGTGTTCCAGGCAATAGTTTTGAATTATTATGGACCATAACTCCCATACTACCCTATAAATCTACAATAGCTTAATCTGCTTGGGGCCCCTAATTTCCCCATAGAGCGGACTTCTAGAAGCCGACTACCACAGTTCTACACCAAAGCATCTTTTGAGTTTGATAGAGATGGCTCTGTGACAGTGTGGCTGCAGGGATCCAAATTGCCCAATGTAGGTGTTGTTTACAGACTCCAGGGCCCAACGTAGGCACGATTTACTATGAATACTCTTGTTAGTGTTACTGTTAGTATATTCCTACTATCATACCACTATTGCATACTATTGCTATTTTTCTTTGTGACAGTGTGGTGCTTGCAGGAGGCGGAGCGTCTGGATTCTGAGGTCAGCAAGTTGGAGGCCGCTAAAGATACAAAGGAGATGGGGAAGGGCTGGCTGGTGATTTGTTGTGGTCTTGGCAGTTAGGGTTCATGTTTCAGCAAAGCCGCGCATGTCGCAGACCGCACTTTCTTGCAGGTCCTGATGTTGGGACATGCCGATTGCCTGCGCTTGTGGAAACAAACGCACTTATGCAATGGTTTGAGTTTAAAATTTAAGGAAGAATAAAACAGATATTCGGGAGCAATCGTTTGCCACTGAGGTTGAAGATACAGATTCATCTTAAGACCCTGTGCTATCTGCACCACTGCTTCCTAGATAAAATCGTCCCCACATTGTTCCAACACAGCTTGTCAGTTTTCGACAGTTTTATTGATGTAACGAGGCAGTCTTAAGACAGAAAAGATGCTCAAAATGTTCACGCGGCAGGTACACGCAAGCGCGGCTCAAGCATCGCGTAAGGGCTGTATACAGATTATGGTCTCTTAATGTCTCTGACATGTTGCCCGAGGAAGATCTTAGTGGGGCTGTGCGGGTGGAAGCTTGAGCAAGCTTCGCGCAAGGTCGGCCCAAGATCCTGAAGCCCGGGGGGAAAAAGAATAATTTCCTGCAGATGAAATTGTTATGGCAGCTGGTTGTTCTCCTGCAATAATGTCTGGCAACCACAACTAACTTGGTTCTTGCCCCATCGTGTTCCCGCAGAAGCCCTGACGTTCTTTGGGCCTTTGGAGTATTCATTTTATACCCGGAGACTTGTTCATGTCTCCCCTATACCAAGCCTCTCGTAAAGGATGCTACGAAGCGGTGGGGTGCTAATTTTGGCGGATGTATCCAGAGGGTGTGTGCCGAAATTGTGGCCTGGGCGTGCCTGGGCCACAACTGCCAAGGATACTCAACATTCCTTGCATGGCCACATGGGTTGTTATGTAAGCGCATAAAGTACGGGGGCCCCAATCTCAACCTCAATATACAGTAGTCCTGACGATCATGAGGACCCCAAAAGGGTATCCCTAGTCCTGGGACGCCTATAACCACATGTTACTACTAGTAACCCTACACCCCAAACCCTAAACCCTAAAAATCCCTCAATGCAGGGAGTAACCTGACCTGCACATTTGTTGCCGTGCCTGCACTCTATGCAATGCGCGTGTCTAAACCCTAAAACCCTAAACCTTGAAACCCTAGACCCTAAAACCCTAGACCCCTAAACCCCGGCTCAGAACGTTGGGCCCCACTGCAGGAGGAAGCACTTCTTGAACTGAGCCGAAGCGTGGACGATTCGGAGCTCCCGGCAGCTCCAAAGGCAGCGCAAGCTTGCAAAAGGGGCCCATTTTAGGGTTTTGGGTTTTGGGTTTTAGAGTTTAGGGTTTGGGGTTCCTGTGCCTGGCATCAACGAGACCAGATGCAAAAAGGGTTTGGGGTTGAGGGTTTTCAAGGGTTAGGATTTGGATGAAGGGTTTTAGGGGTTAGAGTTTCGGGTCTAGGGCTGATAGTAAACAGAGAGTTGATACTAGCAAGACTAGAAGCCGAAGTACCTTTCTTGCAGATTCAGTAGCAGAAGAAGCAGTAGCGGAAAGAGGCAGAAGTTGTACCTGAACCCAAAAGTATGCAGAAAAATTGCCTTTGGGTCTATTAGTAAAGGATTTCGGGCTTAGACCGAAAGTGAGGGACAAATGGGGTGATTGCGCCAAGCTGGAACCGTTTCGCACTGACACCTTTCTGGATCTAGGGTTTAGGAGAGGGTTTGGGGTGTAGGGTTTATGGAATCCCTTTATCAATCATCAAATGGGGATTCCCCAAAATCAGGGATACCCTTTCGGGGGTCCCCATAGTATGGTTTGTAGTGTACTGGGGTATATAAGGGAATATGAGGGGGACCCTTCTTTCTAGACCCTAAACCCCAAATCCTAAATCCCCATCCCGAAGACCTTGAAGCTCAGAGCCTGCCAGGAAAACTCTGAAAACACGCGGTTAGGGTTTGGGGTTCAGGGTTTAGATGCCCTTGTAGACAGAACTTCATGGTTATAGGGTCCCCACAGTACATGCTCAGGCCCGATTGGAGGGTATTTTCAGTGTCTAGGTAGAGATTTCTCCTAAACCCTAAACCTTATCACTTTCGAGATGCCCAAACCTTAATTCCCGGGTTTAGGTGTTTAGGGATTTAGGGAACTATAGGGATCATAGGGTTCTAGCCCCCCTTAAGTAGATAGAATATGGGATATATGGGGATCTTACTATAATGTACCCAAAGCCATATTCTATCTACTTGAGGGCAGGTTTTATACAGGGATTCTACCCTAAACCCTAAGACCAAGCTCACAACTTTTGGCAGGCCGCACTGCGAGACCGATTGGGCCAGCTTCGCAAGCAGTTGCCCAGAGCAACTGAGGGGACTTCTGGGTTTAGAGTCTAGGGTTTAGGGTTTGGGGGTTAGGGTTTAAGGTTTGGGGTTTAGGCTTTGGGGTTTAGGGCTTGGGGTTTGGGGTTTAGGGTTTGGGAAAATCTTCTGATACTATGGACCTAAACCCTATATCAGAATTGAAATGTTAAAGGGCCTTTGAGTTTATCCCAGGCCTTGTTGGTTGTACGGCGAGCCTAAGAGTGCTTTTCAGGGCTGACGACCGAGGATTAAGGATTCAAGGTAAAGGGTTGGGGTTAAGGATTTAGGAACCTTAGGTTTCAGGTTTGGGGTACGGGGGGGTATCAGCAATACCTTGAATCCAGCTGGCGATCCCGGGGTTACAGGCGACAACTGGATGGTGATTCATGATTTTGGTGCTGAGGCTCAAGAAGAAGCAAAAGAAGAAGAAAGGCAAGGTGAGCAAGGAGGAGCAGGCGGCATTCTTGGCCGAGCTGCGCCAGGCTGGATCAAGTAGAAGAAATCAAGGGACTGCAGGGCCAAAGGCCCGGCATAGAACACGGAACGCTGGCAAATTCCCTTCTCTCACTGCCTGGGCAATCACGCCTCGACTGCTCAGCACTCGATTCCTAACCCTAAATAGTAGTTTCCATTTTCTTTTCCGTTATCCCAATATAACCACTATATTTGTACGCTATTATAGTAGTTTCCATTTCCCATCATCCCAGTACAAACCCTATATATATATACATATATGTACACTGTTAAAATGGTAGTTTCCATTTTCTTTTCCATTATCCCAATATTAGCCCTCCTAAACCGCATAGCCTTGAAGCCCTAAAACCCTAAACCCTAAACCCTAAGCTTTAAAACCCTAAACCCTAACCCCTAACCCCTAAACCCTACCCCCCCCAAAGGCGATTGATGGGGCTCGGAGTGCTGGCGCCAGCTTCTGCGTTGCAGCATTCGAGGGCACAGGTGCCATCTTGGTATTTGCTCATGAGGGTTTAGGGTTTAGGGTTTAGGGAGGGTTTAGGGTTTAGGGTTTAGGGAGGGTTTAGGGTTTAGGGAGGGTTTAGGGTTTAGGGAAACTATTACAATAGGGTGTGTGTGTATATATATATATATACGGGTTATATAGGTATAATGGAAA